CCAATGACTCACGCGTGGTGACTGTGGCAATCCTACAATCTTCAACCAATGTGCAACCAAACTCGCATGGCAGAATGGCAGAAATGTAGCTTACAGTAGAATCCGCTTCAGGAATCTCTGCCTGCTCACTGGTTCTCTTAATGCCTCTTGCCTCTGCCAATCTGCGCCTATTGGTTGGAGACTCCGAATGCTCTCCAGGTTCCCTGTCAATGTCCTCATGACCTCGCGTCAATCCTTGGGACAACTGGGCTGACGAATCCTCACCAGTTCCATCGTGATCTGGCTCCTCTGTTTGCTCGTCAGTTGGTGGAATCCCCAAAGGTGGCTGGGGTTCACCTTTCTGGAGCACAGCAGAATCACCCGGAAGGATGAACGAATCCGTTTCGACCTTGGATCCTTTTGGATCCCATGGCAATGCACGCAACCCTTGCATCAAATCTCGCTTGACTTGTGATCCCGGCTGAAGTCTCCGAATGCCTCGCACCTTGTACACAGCATTGGAATCCGCCACAAAATGCTGGTCGGATGTGGTGTCACGTCCAAGCCAAATGCCTGAATGCCACGATGGCTCAGACTTAGGCGCAGGCAATCGGAACTGCACAGACTCGGCAATTCGACACAATGCACCTCCATACTTCTTTCCCCATCGTCGTTCAAATGGAGTGAATCCATCAGACCGATGAAGAAACCTGTTTAGAAGCCACATGGAGTGCTTAACAATCCAAGGAAACAATGGCGAATGCACGCTAACCGACATGCCATACCTATGTTGAATGTCAAGCTTCAAAGCACGAATCTGAGCATACAATGTTGCTTGCATGTTGGAAATGGATCCCTGAGCTTGCTTCCAGCCAGTGGGAGCTTCACGGTATGACAATCCACCAATGTCACCCGTGACTGCCTCGACCAAGGCTTTTAATGAAGCTTCAGGGTCGCACTGAACAATCCCAAATGTCCTTCCAATCTCCAACACGAATTTCCTCAACTCTGCTTGCGCATACACAATGCGTCCTTTGGACGGAACAACGCACGCCAATCCCATTCCACTCAGTACATCAGTGGCCGTGAGCAATGTCACCTGTGTGTCACTTTGTGAATCACCCATAAAGGCGTAATCCACCTGAATCACAGGTTGCCGCACCGAAATGGCACGACTCTGGTTTTGCTTGCTCTTCGACCTGACGCAAATCTCACACCATGATCTGAATGGCAGATGAGTCAACTCATGTTCACGAATCTCATCGTCCGTCGGCTGTTTGGGAACGTACAATCCCTTTGGCCGTTGAGCCGACATTTCCGGAATGTCCGGGTTGCTCTCTTCCAAGAATTGCTGAGACTGCCGACGAAAAATCGTCGCGCCTTTGAATGGCTCAGGAAATTCCGTAGCAGCAGCCTCTGGGTCAGCCCAGTGGTCGTGAATCCACTGGAGTCTCCCGTTGAGGAACACAGCCAATGTGTGCCTCTCGTTCCCCAGCAATTCCTTGGAGGGAGCGGCCGAATCGGTCTCATCTGGCACATACAGACAATTCCTCCACTCATGGTGTATCCTAATGTCAAACTTGGGTGTGAGGTACCATTCATCATGTCCGAATGGTCCTCCTGTCTCCGGGTCACTCATGCACAATCGCCGTTCCACAATTTCCTTTGCTTCTTCCAATTCTCCCGTCGTCAGCTCCTTCACTGACCGGGAATAATCATCCTGGCCAATGTCAGCAGACGGTTGCGCTTTCAAATGAGGTTTCTTTGCTGGCACTGACGCTTCCTGAATGGGAGGTCTTGCAATTGTGGATTGCTTCCCCGTCAATCGTCTTGCCGTCGGCAAGGATTGCAACGGGAATTCTGTCCTTCCCATCCAGTACTGATCCAACGCCCGTTGCGGAGAATCTATCGTCCGCCAATTGTCGGCGATGGTCTCCTCACGTCCATCTTCGAATCGGACGTAAGTTGTGCGTCTGGACGCCACATCTTCCACAGGAATGGGCCTGTCCTTGGTGCCACCTGGCGTGAATAACGCACGCCTTGCGCGCTTGTGATGTCGAATCAGCACAGCGCGTTGCGGATCAAGTTCCCAACTGTCGTTGTGGTAAATGGTGGGCTTAAATGTGGGTGCTATGGTCCCTGAAGAATCTGAACCAAACTTGGAATGAAACTCTTGACACACTTCTTCAAATCGGGGTTTGTCAAATGGAAGAATGTTCGGACCTAGGAAAAGCAGTGAGCCTTTTCGGTGAATACTCACTACCTTACCATTGGGCATAAACAATCCCAATGAGTCTGGTCCATCCAATGCTACGCGGAATCCCTGCAGCAGCAATCGTGCAACCGACACAATCGGATAAGGCACGTCACAAACATAAAAATTCATGAAGCAATCTTGTCCATCCAAGTTCAAGCCAACCAATCTTCTCCCATACATGTTCAATGGCTGTCCTGTGACACTCTTCAATGGTGGGCCATTTCCATTTAATGGAAGCAATGGCCATTGTTCACCAAAGTCTGG